CAAAAATAAGGTTGTATTTGTAAAGTTTCAAATTTATATATTTTTCTTAATTTATATATTTATCTATATATGTGTGTTATTTATATTGTGTTTTATTGTGTATATATGTGTTAAGGTTATATGGGTTTATATTTTGTAAGTGTGTAAATATATGAAATGTTTCAATGTTTGTGGTGTGTTATATGTAATATGTTTATAGTTTGTAAGTGATAATTATGTTGTTTGCATGGTTTCAAATTGTTGTGACTGGGCTTAGTTTACAGCAAGATTGTTGACCTCGCTAGCCAAGTGGTGTACTTTGCTATAATGTGACCTGGCTTTGTTGAGAGCAAAAATATTGTCCTCGCCAGCAGAGTGGTGTATTGTCATAATAAAACACATAAATTAATTCTGTTTGTAATTAGTGTATTTCTAAAATGTGTTGAAAAAATATTGTTTAAAAAATGTGTTTTAATGTTGTTATCCTCTGTTCTTAACAATGTATGCTTTTGACAATAAATAAATTTTGTTAAAAAGCAGGCTATACTAACAGCTCCTCCTCATTAAAATTTTTAAGAGTTTCGATTTTCTTCATTAAATATGTTTAACTCAAATTTTTTTTATATATATAAAAGTAAGTATACAGCGTGTTGAAGCATAAGTTTTAATAACTTTTGTTAAATTTTTAGGATTTTTTGTATAGAGAATGTTTTCTTTATATTATAATTTTAATGTTTTGTATGTACATCAATATATATATATATATATATATATATATATATATATATATATATATATATATATATATATATATATATATATATATATATATATATATATATATATATATATATATATATGTATATATATAGACACACACACACACACACAATAAAATATATAGAATTAAAATGTCTATACATATATTATATGTATAGACATTTTAATTTTTTTGCCTTAAATTATTGTCCCTTTTTCTTTAGAATATTAAATATCTAAAAAAACAATTAAAATAGTTAAAGAAGTTTCAATATTTCTAAGTTTCTTCACTTGAAGCAAATATATGATTGTTTATAGAGGTTCTTTTAGTAGTTTTGTATTTATTTATTGCAAATCTTGCGTTAAATGCCTTTCAAAGTAATGAAAGGGTTTTGTTGATGGATGATTACATTTTATCCTTCCATGATAGCAGTACTTGCTGAGTTGACAGGCCTTAAATTTTTTTAATTTGCTTTATTTATGAGTTCTTATATGTAAAAAATTTGTTTTTTAAATTACTTTTTTTTTTGTTTTTTTTTGATTAAATACTTATAATATTTTGTCAATAATTAATAACAACTACCATAAATATATAAACAATACTTAGTTGAAAATATTACATTAATTTATAACTTTAGTTTAAGTTTTTAATAAAACTATGTTCTCTTAACACAATGCTATATATGGTAGAATATAATAGATTATAGTATTATGCTCTGTATTATTTGCTTACACTTTATTTTAGATAAGTTTAAAAAAGAAACTTCAACTTTTTTTATATTAGGCATCATTTTTGCACACTCCTTTGATGCCTAATTATGTCTAATAATTTAAGAAATGAAATTATTAGACTTCGTCAAAATGAAAGAAGGCAGGCTAGGCGAGCTGAGATAAACCGCCGTCGAAATGAAAGAGATGAGCCCAGGCGAGCTGAGATAAATCGTCGTCGAATTGAAAGAGATGAGCCCAGGCGAGCTGAGATAAATCGTCGTCGAATTGAAAGAGATGAGCCCCGGCGAGCTGAAATAAATTGTAATCAAAATGAAAGAAATCAGGCTAGGCGAGAACTTAATAGGTATAATATGCATCGCATAGCAAGAAATAATATTGCTATAGAGAGTAACTAACTCGGAGAATTAAACCATAATTGTCAGTATTGCAGTGCATTGAAGTTTTTAAATGAAACTCATTTTTTGTGCTGCCATTCAGGAAAAGTTGTATTCGCTCCTCTTTCTCTTTATCCGCCATTGTTGACTGGTTTAATGACAGGAAACCATGTTGATCATGCTGTAAATCAAAATTTTTTTAAACACATAAGGAGTTATAATTCCTCTTTATTTTTTGCTTCCTTCACTGCCGAAATAGCTCCTCCCTCAAATAATGGCCCTTTCTGTTTTAGGGTCTGTGGGCAAATTTGGCATCGTGTTGGAAATTTAAGGCCTGCAGAAGGTTGTCTGCCCAAATATTGTCAGCTGTATATCTATGATCCTAATGCAGCAGTGTCATTCAGAATGGAACAACCTGGTAATGATGGTTGTATACATGAGTTAATGCAACTCTTGCAAACATTAATTAATCAAGAAAACCCATTTGCTCTTGCATTTAAAAACATGGCAGAAGTAGAGGATGAAGAAATCCGCCAAGCAGCTTTAGAAGGTAGACCAACCTCTGTTGTAAGAATGTCTTTGCTTGAAGGTCATCATAGACGTCGATACAATCTTCCTTCCCATGAGGAAGTTGCTATTGTGTTTGTGGGAGATGATGGTGCTCCACCTGCATCCAGGGAAATTGTTATATACCCTCGAGGTCAGCCTTTAAGAACAATTTCGTCTATGTCTGCAAATTTGGATCCTTTGGTATATCCAATATTCTTACCGAGAGGTGATGCTGGATGGCACAATCAACTAGAGCACAACCCTGACCGTGCAACCCGTGTTAGAAACCATGTTACTTTGTCTTAGTATTATAATTATAGGCTTGCTGTTAGACAAACTTTTAGTCCTATATTCTATGGTAAGAAACTTTCTCAGCAGTATGTTGTTGATGCATATGTCAAAATTGAGGGACAGCGCCTTGCTTTTATTAGAAATAACCAAAACAAACTTAGAAGTGAGCAATATGATGCATTGCATGAACATGTAATTAATCGTGCTAATGATCTTAATGTAAGACCAGGCCGTGTTGTTATATTGCCTTCTTCATATGTTGGTAGTCCAAGAGCATTAAAAGAAAACTTTGAAGATGCGATGGCAGTCATAAAGAAATATGGTAAACCAGATCTATTCATTACTTTTACCTGCAATCCAAAATGGAGAGAAATAGTAGAAAATTTAAACCCAGGCCAAACTGCCAATGACAGACCTGATTTAGTTTGTCGGGTATTTAAAATGAAACTTAAATTTTTCTTAGAGGATATTTTTAAGCATGGAGTCTTAGGCAAAGTTGTAAGTCATGTGCAGGTTATTGAGTTTCAAAAGCGTGGTTTGCCACATGTACATATTTTATTGCACTTTGTAAATGCTGATAAGCTAGAAACAGCAGAAGATATTGATAGTTTGATATCAGCAGAAATCCCAGACCCAGCTGTTGATCCTGAACTTTTTGAAATTATAAAATCATGCATGATACATGGACCATGTGGAATTTTAAATCCCAATTCTCCCTGCATGAAAGATGGTAAATGCACAAAAAAAATTCCTAAGGAATTTAATCCCCACACTGTTGCAATTTTTAATGGTTATCCACGCTATAGGCGCGTCGATAATGGAAGAATTGTAAATATAAAAGGTAATCAAGTTGACAACCGTTGGGTTGTACCTTATAACCCATGGCTTTCTAAAAAATATCAAGCACACATAAATGTTGAAGCCTGCATGACCATAAAGTCAGTTAAGTATTTATATAAGTACATTTACAAAGGCCATGACTGTGCCAATGTGGTGATAAATGAGCAAGTTAACCATGATGAAATAAACACGTTTTTAAATTGTCGCTATGTCTCAGCTCCAGAAGCATTGTGGCGAATATTTGAGTATTCTTTAAGTGATATGTCACATAACATCATTCGACTTCAGGTTCATCTGCCAGATAATCAGATGATATATTTTGTAGAAGGCGATGAACAGGCAGCTTTAGACCGTGCAGCACAGCGTGACACTCACCTAACTGCATGGTTTAAATTAAATGTTGAAAATGAACAAGCCCGACACTATCCATATGTTGAAATTCCTTACCACTTTGTTTTTGATAGCAAACATTGTAAATGGAAAGTTAGGCAAAGAGGTAGCAATAAGGTGATTGTTAGGATGTATAAAGTGAGTCCAATAGGTGAAATATTTTATCTTAGAATGTTACTTTTGCATGTTAGAGGTGCAGTTTCTTTTGAAGATTTGCGTACTGTTAATGGTACAGTTTTTAATACATTCCGAGAAGCATGTTCTTAATTAGGTCTGTTACAAGACGACGCTGAATGGAGAAATACATTAACTGAGGCTGCTGCAACTCGGTTGCCAAATCAAATTAGACAGTTGTTTTCCATTATTTTGACTTTCTGTGAACCTGATGATCCATTAAATCTTTGAAATGCCTTTAAAGATTTTTTGATGGAGGATTACATTCACCATTCCATGCCACCAATAATTGCTGAGCAGGCAGCTTTGCGTCAAATTGAATCTATAAATCAGAATGGTAAGACTTTAGCTGATTTTAATCTTTCTACTTTAGATGAGTTTTTAGATTACGTCCCACAAAATGAAGAGGAAGATGTTCAGGTTTTAATTGATGATGCAAATAGGGTTAGACCATTGTTAAATGATAATCAGCGTCAAATTGCTGATGCTATCCTTTCTGCTCTTAGTGAGCAACCTAACAATGAAAACAAGCAGTCTAGATTGTTTTTTATGGATGGCCCTGCAGGTTGTGGTAAAACATTTACATACATTTATTTAATCGCTGAAACCAGCAGTAGACATATTATAACTGCAACAGCTGCATGGACAGGAAAATTCTTGAGGCAAGTTAGTCTTTATTTACTAGATGAGGCATCCATGATACCTAAACATGCTTTAAATGCCATTGATAAGTTACTTCAAGACGTTTGCAATAACAAGTTTCCTTTCGGTGGTAAAGTTATTCTTATGGGTGGGGATTTTAGGCAAATACTTCCGGTTGTAAAGAGAGGGCAACCAGCTGATATTGTTGAAGCCTGTATAAAATGTTCTCAACATTAGCAATATGTTCAGCGATTTTCATCAACAGAAAATATGAGGGTTCAGGCCGAAGAAGAGGAATTCTCTCAATGGCTTTTAAAACTTGGTTGTGGAACATTACCTTTAAAAGCAGATGGTTCCTTTCGCGGGTGCATTGAGATTCCTGAGCAATGCTTGCTTGGAGAAAATGAATCTTTAGTAGACAAGATTTTTGGAGTTGCAGAAGAAGATGATTATGCTAAACGTGCCATTTTGACACCCAATAATGTTGATTCTTTAGCAATAAATGAAGAAGTTTTGGACCGTTTACCAGGTGACGTTAAGGTTTATTTAAGTGCTGATACTATTGAAACAGATGATCTTAACGAAATCAATTATTTTCCTGTTGAGTTTTTAAACAGTCTTACTCCATCAGGAATGCCTGTTCATTGCCTAAAGCTAATATTTGGTGCTGTTATAATGTTACTTCGAAATTTAGATCTAAAAGCTGGAGTTTGCAATGGTACCCGATTGATAGTGCGTGCTCTACAAAATAATTACATTGATGGGCAAGTTCTAACAGGTGTTTCAGTTGGCAAGAGGGTATTTGTCCCTCGGGTTCAGTTAACACAATCTGATTCAAATTTACCTTTTACTCTTAAGCGTCGTCAATTTCCTGTAAGATTAGCATACTCAATGACCATAAATAAAAGTCAAGGTCAAACTTTTGACAAAGTTGGTATATATCTCAAAAACCCTTGCTTTTCACATGGTCAACTCTATGTTGCATGTTCAAGAACAAGATCGTTTAATACCTTATTTTTTAAAATTGATGAGCATTCATTACAAAGTATGTCATTTAACAAATGCTACACAAACAATGTTGTATTTACCAATGTACTAAATCTATAAATAATTAATTTTTTCCAATTAAACTCCTCATTTCTTATAAATATTTTAACTGTAATTTAAAGTATTTTTGTGTGTTGCTTGATGCAGTAATGTGTGATATTTATTATGTGTTTAAATATGTGTTAAGGTTATATTTTGTAAGTGTTTATGTGTAACTAATGTGTAAATGACTGTTATATGTGAAGTGTATTTTTTATGTTATCTGTTTATAGTTTGTGAGTTGTTATTATGTTGTTTTCATGGTTTCAAAGTGGTGTGACTTGGCTTTGTTTATGGCAAGAGTGTTGTCCTTGCTAGCCAAGCGGTGTACTTTGAATAATGTGACTTGGCTTTGTTTATGGCAAGAGTGTTGTCCTTGCTAGCCAAGTGATGTACAGACATGAAACACATAATAAAATCTGTTTGTAATCACAAAATGTGTACTTATAAGTATGTTATATTTTGTAAGTATTTATGTGTAATTAATGTGTAAATGGCTGTTACATATGAAGTGTATTTTTTGTTATGTTATCTGTTTATAGTTTGTGAGTTGTTATTATGTTGTTTTCATGGTTTCAAAGTGGTGTGACTTGGCTTTGTTTATGGCAAGAGTGTTGTCCTGCTAGCCAAGCGGTGTACTTTGAATAATGTGACTCGGCTTTGTTTATGGCAAGAGTGTTGTCCTTGCTAGCCAAGCGGCGTACTGACATGAAACACATAATAAAATCTGTTTGTAATCACAAAATGTGTACTTGCAAGTATGTTATGCTGTTAGTAAATAAAGTATTTACAATAAAGTCTGGATAACTCAATAAATCAACTAAAATAAATCAAACTAATTTTAAAATTCCAGTTGAGCGATTGTTTATGGATCATACTACCACTAACTGAAATATTTTCTAATAAGCTAATTGCTGGATCCTTTGGTGGTTTAAGTTATTGAGTCTTTACTGTAAGATTTTGTGCTATTTGTTATTGATGTTTGTGATGTTACTGTTGTGATGTTTTGTGTTGATAGACGACTTGGCTTACCTTCACGTCGTTGTCTATCGTTAAAAATGATTATAGGGTTGTTTCATACTAAAACTGACTATTTATAATCATTCACTAAAAGCCAAGCATTCAATTTTTATATTAAACTGTAAGGGTTTATCTTTTTTTGATTATTTTTAGTGTGCTTTTTTTGAAAAGAGTTTATAATCGAAACTTGCAACAAAAAATCTTGAAACCTTTACACAAAACCTATTCACAAATCTCAAAGTAAGTTTCTTATTTGATATCGCCTTGGTCACACTTTTGAGTTTTTAAATAAAAGAGTACATTAATGTGTTATGTTTTCAATAATTTTGTTTTATTTTAGTTCGAATGCCTTCTCTTAATGTTGATCGTTTTTTAACATCCAAAGGGAAGTTTTGTTAATCTTTATACCATTAACTAAAAGATATATTATAGGGAAACAAATCAAATTGATTTTATAAAGTACTTCTGATACTTTTTATGTTATATATAATAAATATTGTAAAATTTAAAAAAAAAAAATTATTTTTTTAATTTTATCTCAAGAAAAATGTTTTTTGTTTCTCACACAACACAGTGTTATAAAATAGGTTCTAACCTTAACTTTCTGACCCGGGAAAACCCTTTGGCGGAATGATAGCCCTTACTATGGGGATCACTTAGATATAAGTATCAAAATCAGATTACAACGTCCTGGCAAGTTATTTACATTTGAATTTTCATCCAAGTTAACACAAAACGTGTTTTAAACGTTTAATATACGTATTGATACGTATTAAAACGTATTATAAACGTGTTAAACACGTCTTGCGTTTAATAAAATACTTTATTGATTGCACAAATATGCAATATGAGCGCTTATTTTCCTTTTTGTAGTATTAAAAATCTCCAATTTACATAAATATAAACAAGGAAAGCAAAATAATATATTCTTGAAGTTATACAAGTAACAAACATAAAATATATTGATTGCACAAACATGCGGAATGACAGCTTATTTTGCATTTCTACATACCAAAACTATGATTAGTTTGTAAAAACTGCTTTAATTGATATGAAACGTATTTAATTATGACATAAATTATTTTGGAATAAATTTCTACTTTTGAATTCTGGGTAAAAGCACGTTGTTTTTACTTTACTTATGAGAGCTAAACTGAGCACATCTAATTTTACCGAAAATGCCAAATACTGCTAAAAACCACCAAGAATGCAGGAAATCTGTTTGTTTTCTTTGTTTTAGTAAAAGTCAACGAAAGCTAACATCAAATCTAAAAGAAAGATGTCAGATTATACTGAAAGAGAAAATCAACTTTAATGATGACAAAGTTCCACTTGGAATATGTGAAAAATGTCGCTCTTGTTTAAGAAGGAAGGAAAGTGGAGAAGACATCACACTCCCATCATTGTATAAGTTTGAGACTATAAAACTTCGACCAGAAACTCGAGACTCTCACTGTAACTGCTTGATCTGTTCAATTGGTAAACTGAGACACAATGGTCAAATGAAAATTGAATTCGCACAAAGTTCAGCAACTAGAACACCTTCTTTAACAGTAGAAAAAAGATGCTCAGACTGTTTTTCAATTATTGGTCGAGGATTGCCTCACAACTGCACAAAAGGCACTTTGAGAAATAATCTTGTTGCTGTAGTAACAAAGGATCCTTTGGCATCAGAAAGAATTGCAGCTCTTGTTGTTTCAAATAAAGCTCCTTCTCCACATGGAACTGTTCGATTAAGTCAACTTTATGGTGGAAGAATGCTTCCAGTAACACCAAGTATAAATTTTATATAGTTTTTTATAGTTCAAATTAATGAAAAGTTAAATTTTTAACTTTTTGTATTCACTATAGGTTCGTCATCAGCTAGACAACTTTTCTCTTCAAATTCATCAATAAGTAGAAAAGACCTTGCTAAAGTTCAAGCAAACACAGGGCTTTCAAACAATGGCATTAAGAGGTTAGCAGCTACTATTAATCAGTCAATCTTACAACAGATTGTTGAAAAAAATTACGCCATAAAATTTGACAAATTCAGCAAGCAACTTGTACATCATTTCACAAGTTCATTAATTCAAGATCACGCTGGATGTGTTAGGACAGTCATACATTGCAAGAACTTCCATGAGCTTAAAAATGAAATTATAGCCATGAGAAGTACATCAAAAAATCACATTGTAAAGGTTGGAATTGACGGAGGAGGTGGGTTTCTGAAAGTTACCCTGGGAATTATTGAATTAAATAATGAACCTTGCATTCCCCCAGCAAAAATCAACTGCACAAGCAAGGTTTTTAAGGACACTGGTGTAAAACAACAACTATTCATTGCTGTCTGTGAGGAGCTTCAAGAAAGTTATACTAACGTTTTGCAAGTATTTGAGTTGATTAAATTGAAAGACCAGGAGTTTGTCATGTCCTGTGATCTAAAACTTGCTAATATAATTTGTGGGCTTCAAGCACACTCAAGTGCACATCCCTGCACCTGGTGTGAATCTGGTTCAAAAGAACTTGTAAATCAAGGGAAATTGAGGACTTTTGAATCTCTGGAAAAAAATGTCTCACTCTTCAAGTCAGCTGGTTCCAATATTAGAAAAGCTCGTGACTATAAAAATGTTGTTCATTCTCCAATATTTAAACTACCTGGAGACACTTTGGTTTTGAATTTTCTTCCTCCCATGGAATTGCATCTCTTAATTGGAGTTTTTAATCATCTTTTTGCTGCGCTGCTTCAAGTTTTTCCTCGAGTAACTCTTTGGTCTGATGCATTACACATTAAACAACAACCTTACCATGGTGGACATTTTGCAGGAAATGAGTCCAGAAAGCTGCAACACACAATATTGATATTCTTGAAACACTCATGCTATGCAGCCATCCCATTCATTGATGCTTTTCGAAAATTCAATGCGGTAGTATCTGGCTGTTTTGGGTGCAACCTTAATCCAAACTACCCACAAATAATTGAAGCATTCAGAGTGTCTTATCTGGCATTGCAAAATGTGTCTGTAACACCCAAGGTCCATGCAGTATTTTTTCATGTAAAAGATTTCATCGACAGATATGGCCAGGCTCTTGGGCTTTACTCAGAACAGGCAACAGAAGCAATGCATCACAACTTTCAGATACATTGGCAAAGGTACAAAAGACCCAATCATCATCCAGAATACAGTAAGAAGTTGCAATGTTGCATTGTTGACTTCAATACTAAACATTGTTTGTGAAAAGTCATTTTAAGAAGGGATTTGAGAATAAGTTGTTTTTGAATTTGTTCCATTTAAAAGAAACTTTTTTTCTGAATATATTTTATGTTTGTTACTTGTATAACTTCAAGAATATATTATTTTGCTTTCCTTGTTTATATTTATGTAAATTGGAGATTTTTAATACTACAAAAAGGAAAATAAGCGCTCATATTGCATATTTGTGCAATCAATAAAGTATTTTATTAAACGCAAGACGTGTTTAACACGTTTATAATACGTTTTAATACGTATCAATACGTATATTAAACGTTTAAAACACGTTTTGTGTTAACTAGGATGAAAATTCAAATGTAAATAACTTGCCAGGACGTTGTAATCTGATTTTGATACTTATATCTAAGTGATCCCCATAGTAAGGGCTATCATTCCGCCAAAGGGTTTTCCCGGGTCAGAAAGTTAAGGTTAGAACCTATTTTATAACACTGTGACAAATTTGTAAATTTTTTCTCTTTGGAATTATAGTATTTGATGGATACATTGCTCATTTTGCTTTTTTAATATATATCTTCGTTATATATGAATGGAAACCGTTAATACTTTTATTACCATGGTAATTACAGATCTAGATAGTTCCATTCCCATTAAGTATTTTACAAATTTTCGGTACAAATAATAGCTATAGTAGTTTAATAATTTGCTAATTTATAAACATTTAGAAAAATTTGTTGCGAGTTTATTGTAGAAAATTTGCTTTTCAAACAAATAGAGCTAATTTTTGACATAATTAGGATTCGTCACCTGATTCTTTGTCAAATACTTCTCCTTTTTAAATAGGAAAGGTTAAATTTTATAAAAAAGTTTGCCAAAACACTGGGAGAAATGTCACGTAATTGGTAACTATGTTAAATACACTTTTGGTAGGTCCACGTAATTTTCGAATCTGCTCATCACTACGTTAGATGGCATTATTTCTTTAAAATACCTTAAAAATCTTCAATTCAAAGTTTTTGTTTCGAATCATCAAAATATTGGCAGATGATATAAATATACGATTCTAATAAACCAAAAGTATGTGGAAAAATTGCGCATACTTAGGCATCATAAAAACTTAATTCACACCAACCATTTACTTTGATATTTTTTAGTGTATGGCAGAAAAATAAATTACGAATTGTCTTAGATAAATAAAGTTACCGGACCTTTATTACTTAATCCATAAACAATTATTGTTTCATTCGATTTAACACCACAATAAAAAACAAAGCTTTTTCTATTTATTTTCGAAAAACGTTTTACTGGAAACCGAGTTCTTTTGTAGCATTTTAGTTAGAGTTATAGAAAAATCTATAACTCTTATTTTGTTAAGTAAAAAAAAAATCTTATGCTCTTCTAATTTTAGTCACCAATAACAACTATGTTAGGAATAGTAGAAAATGTTATGTGTGGTAGAGAAACTGTTTTAGTGTGGTGTTGTAGGAGTACTGCGGGTCTAAGAAACTTTGTTTTCATTGATAAATTATTCTCTTGGTCTATTAAAACAGTATGAAAACTTTCCAGTATTTATATTTGATGTCTTTTTTTCATTTTATTTTATAATTGTTATTTAAGTTTCAAAAAGCAGCAAAAACAACTTGAAAAGAACTATCGCACAATGACTCGCTTAAACACAGGATTCCAATTTCCTGATATACATGGAAATGCTGATATTGCTTTCACTATATTGTCTCTTTGTAATGTGTAAAATCATTTTTACTTAGGTTTGCCAAATGACCGGCTTTTACAGAGTAGAATATAGTCCCAAACATATACAGTTCAGTTCTTTTACTGCTTTCTTCTTCATAAAAGCCGGACGTCTTGCAACCCTTGAATTTCCCCTTCTTTTTGTTTGCATAAATTACATAATTCTCTTAATTATAAATACTCCAAATCCGATTTTCGAACAGCGTATTTTAAAATCTAAAGAAATATAAGCGATTAAAGATTACATTTTGCAAGCCAACTGGATGCTTAAACAACTCAAAAGACAGCCACGCGCTCATTATAACTCTCTTATAGTTTTAGAATCTGAGTGAGTTACTGTTTTGAATATCTAAAATCTTCAAATTAAGTTTTTATGATTTTAAGTTAAATTAGACTTAAGAATATGTGTAAGAATTGAGAATAAATATTTACTTTTCATTTAAGACATGAACACATAAGAAAATTTAAACGGTATGTATTTATTGCATATGTGTGTTAGTGCTATATGCGCTTATATTAGATATTTTATCTATATATCTATATATATCTTATATATGCGTATACAGCACAAACGCTATACTTTATTTAGTACGCATATATAAATATATAAATATAAATAGACAAACAATTTACACTCTTATAAACAGTGTTGGGTTAACTGATAGACAAAATAAGCACTGCTATCATATTTTATTTATTGGAAATAAATAAAAATATCAAGTAATTCTCTTTTTAGACGATGATGGTGACTTTTTTAGAAGTAAGTAAACTATAATTTCTTTAGAAGTAAACAATTTTTATTTATATAAAGTGATAGTTATAAAAAATTTATTTCAAGTATGGAGAAATCAGTAGCATATTTTTTATCAAATATTTGAATACTAATAGTAATTTGATTGTTGGTAATAGTTATATAGTTATATACACGCAGCTATTTAATAGTGAAATTTCATTATTTAATGTAAAATTCAAATCTTGAAATAAGAAAAAAATCTTTATGTGTTTTTCAACTAGAAACTTGGAATTTATTTTCTAGACCAGATGTTGTGATTATTATATTTTCTAGACTAGATGTAGTGCTTTATCATATGATATGCTAAATGTATATATTGTATTGTGTGTATATCTAAGATGCGCAGGAGATAGTGGCAGAAGAGACAGAGTCTTTTCTGCCTTATTTGAAAGAATTCTAAGATAATCAAAGTTAGCATTTTCTATTTTTTCTTTTTTACTTCAGTTTTTTCGAAGTTTATGTTACAGTAAATAAATTTATGAACTAATCTTTCATACATTTTGTTTATTTAGAAAATTTAGAAAGTAGAGTTAGTAAGCAAAATTTCCTTATATTACTTTTATGTGTATTAAATAAAAAATAATGAGGTTGGCTTTAGTAATTTGTTCATCTATTTAGAAAAATTAGAAGATTTACAAAAGTCCATAGGTGAGTAAAATTGCTTTTATGTTTATTATACACCCTAATTATTTATGTACATCTAATATTAAATGCGTTTTTTCAATTTGAGCTTAGTTTTGGACTTTGTACTTTTTGGTCAATTTTTTTAGATATCATTTTAAACTACATTTGTAAGTAACTATATTATGTTTTATGTCTCATAAAAGTTTTAATAAATAATATAATGTAATCACTTATAAAGTGACAAATCCAACTTCCTCAGTAACGTATGTTGTTGTACTCACTTAGACTTGACTTATTACATTGATTGATTGTTTTTATTGCATTTTTAATTTTCTTTAATTTATCTCTAGCTGCTGCTTCTTCTGTTACAAGTAAGTTGTTCTATTCACTTATACTTGACTTAATTTATGGATTAATTGGTTTTATTGCATTTTTAATTTTCTTTTATTTATCTCTAGCTGCTGCTTCTTCTGTTACAAGTAAGTTGTTCTATTCACTTATACTTGACTTGATTTATGGATTAATTGGTTTTATTGCATTTTTAATTTTCTTTTATTTATCTCTAGCTGCTGCTTCTTCTGTTACAAGTAAGTTGTTCTATTCACTTATACTTGACTTAATTTATGGATTAATTGGTTTTGTTGCATTTTTAACTTTCTTTTATTTATCTCTAGCTGCTGCTTCTTCTGTTACAAGTAAGTTGTTCTATTCACTTATACTTGACTTGATTTATGGATTAATTGGTTTTATTGCATTTTTAACTTTCTTTTATTTATCTCTAGCTGCTGCTTCTTCTGTTACAAGTAAGTTGTTCTATTCACTTATACTTGACTTAAATTGGATTAATTGGTTTTATTGCATTTTTAACTTTCTTTTATTTATCTCTAGCTGCTTCTTCTGTTATAAGAAAGTCACTTTTACTTAACTTATTACATTGATTGATTGTTTTTATTGCATTTTTAATTTTCTTTTATTTATCTCTAGCTGCTGCTTCTTCTGTTACAAGTAAGTTGTTCTATTCACTTATACTTGACTTAATTTATGGATTAATTGGTTTTATTGCATTTTTAATTTTCTTTTATTTATCTCTAGCTGCTGCTTCTTCTGTTACAAGTAAGTTGTTTTATTCACTTATACTTGACTTAATTTATGGATTAATTGGTTTTATTGCATTTTTAATTTTCTTTTATTTATCTCTAGCTGCTGCTTCTTCTGTTACAAGTAAGTTGTTATATTCACTTATACTTGACTTGATTTATGGATTAATTGGTTTTATTGCATTTTTAATTTTCTTTTATTTATCTCTAGCTGCTGCTTCTTCTGTTACAAGTAAGTTGTTCTATTCACTTATACTTGACTTAAATTGGATTAATTGGTTTTATTGCATTTTTAACTTTCTTTTATTTATCTCTAGCTGCTTCTTCTGTTATAAGAAAGTCACTTTTACTTAACTTATTACATTGATTGATTGTTTTTATTGCATTTTTAATTTTCTTTTATTTATCTCTAGCTGCTGCTTCTTCTGTTACAAGTAAGTTGTTCTATTCACTTATACTTGACTTAATTTATGGATTAATTGGTTTTATTGCATTTTTAATTTTCTTTTATTTATCTCTAGCTGCTGCTTCTTCTGTTACAAGTAAGTTGTTATATTCACTTATACTTGACTTAATTTATGGATTAATTGGTTTAATTGCATTTTTAACTTTCTTTTATTTATCTCTAGCTGCTGCTTCTTCTGTTACAAGTAAGTTGTTATATTCACCTTTACTTGACTTATTACATTGATTGATTGCTTTTATTGTACCTTTTGTTTTTTAATATAGCTACAAATGTGCTTTCCAGTTTAATTAGTTAATGTAATAAGTCAAGTATTAGTGAGTAAAATAAATAAGTTGTTGTGCTCACTTGTACTTAATTTATTACATTATTTGCTTTTATTGTTTTTTTACAGTAGATTTTTTGTAAGTATTACCTTGGTACATAGTTGTATTTATATATAATTTTTTTTTCAGGCTCGAAGTCTTGGGAAGAATTCAGAAAGTATCGCTCCCAGCATCCAGGCCCTCTATCTATGAGGGCCTTCCATCGCTGGTGTTTGTATGGGGACGACCATCCCTCCTTTAGATGGAGGGATGGCACCCCATACAACACGGGGAATAGAGCGGATGCTAGGAGGAGAAGACAACGTGGCGCAAAAGTTGTCAATAATTTTTTTACATATTAAAATGTAAAGAAATTGACAACTTTTGAGCCACTTCATTTTTTTTTTTGTAATATATTTTTGTAAATTTATTTTTGTGTTGTTTTTTATTTTTCCCATGAATGTTAAATGTTATCAAAGTAAATCATTTAAATAAAGACACCTTTATCAACAATGCTCATTAACTAGAAATAAAAGTCACGGTCATACATTTGATAAAGTTAATGTTAATCTCAAAGGGATTTGGTTTTCACACAATCAAATTCTATCTAGCACCTTCCAGAACTAAGAATATAAGTGTGTGGTGTCAGTAGTTTAAAATATGTATAATAAACTCAGAATAACTCAATAACCCTCAACAAAACTATGAACTAATTTTTAAATTCAAGTTGAGCTTTTTTATTTATTAATACCTCCCCTCCCAATAACTCTAATTTTCTTTAAAAAACTTATTTTTTTGTCCTTTGGAGGTGGTTCTGCTATTTAAATAATTGTTGTGATGTTTTATGCAAATAGATTTAGCTCACATTCATGTTGGTCTGTCAGGGTTATGTAAAAATAAAAAAGTAAGTTTCTTATTCGCATTTTTGAGTTTTCAAAAGTATTGATTGCATGACATGTTAATTTGTAATTAATGTGTATGATTATGATTATGCGTTTAAATAACTTTGTTCCATTTTTAGTTCCGTTTCTTATAGCTGACTTGATTATGGCTTACCTAAAGCTTAATATTTATGAAACAATGATTCAATTTAAATTGTATTATAAGTAGCTCTGTTGAATAAATTTTTTTTTCGTAATTTGTACTAAAGGTTATATTTTTATTTTATATCAAGAAAAATATGTTTTTAAGTAAATATCTATATTTTTTTATTTTGGGATTTATTGGTTTAAATGGATATAAAAATCATTTTTGCTTTGTCTTTCATATTTCCTTTTATTATATATGAATAGGAACCATTTATGCTTTAATCACCATTAGCACTCGAAGTTTCCATTTGCATTAAGTATCGATTTTTGGCACACACAACAGGTTTAATATCTTAGGCAGTAAAAACAGCTTGAATGATTTGTTAAAAGTCTTTAAAGAAACGCTTTTACGAAAAGCATTAAATAGATAAAGCTAACTTATTTAAAATAATAAGTCTTTAACCCGTTTTTCTATATCCAAATTTACTTTTTAAATAAATGTTGATGAAAGGGTAAAATATCGTTATAGCCTTCGTTAATTTTAAATTCTTTTTAAATTAAAGGAAAGAGTTTTGATACTTATTTAAATAGGGTTAATAAAATATTTTAAATTATATTATATATATTATATTTAAGAAATTATTAAACTAAATTAAATAAGATTTTTAGATGAAGCAGTAAAAATAATTGTTTAAAATACGTGCGTGCAAATAATTCCTCAAAATACTAAACGTAAAATAACGCTTACAAACACCAAAAGTATGTTTGCAGTGAATAAAGTTAAGTTCAAAGATAAATAGGAAGAAATGTTTAAAACTGTTTCAATGATAACATTTATTTTTAATTACTTTTGTTGTAAGTTGGGATGAAAAAAAAAAGTCACTGGAGTATGAACTCCCGGGGTAAGATGACTATATCTGTCTAAGTGTTGCGCGTCTACCAATTAGCCCATAAACGTATTTTCCATTTAGAATTTAAGATTATTTATGACGCATAAGAAGTGTAATTAAAAATTCAAAACCAAGTTTGCAACAACTGAGTTTAAATAAAATCTAATTAGATGTGTATATGTTATGAACGTTAACTAAGGCGTACTTTAACGGCGTCACGTGTTGAATGTTTTAGCATTTTTCTAAGTTCGTAGTCTTTTTTACGTTTTTTCTTATTAAAATTTTTATAATCGGCATAATATTAAAATCGTTTGAAGTTTTTCAAAAGAACATTTTAACAGAAATGTTTTTGTCATATCAAAAAGTAAGTATAGTTTTTTATATGTACATTTTTAAACGGTTTTAAAAAAATATTAAGGTAAGGAATAAGTATAGAAAAGGTCGGTGTAGAATAGATTTACTAAGACCCTTAGTTTTCGTCCGGATAGCTATAGAAAAGTATAAAAATGGTCGGTTCGGTAAAGACCCGTATTTTACGGGTCACCCCAGCTAGTGTTTTATATTTTTTATATTTCTAGTTTTGGATTTATTTGTTTAGATAAACCGTCAAGATATCAGAAGAACTTCAGATGTTTCAGAAATATCAAAAGGTATTATCATTATTACTTCTTAGTCAAAAGAAGATTAAAATGAAAGGATGTGCCTGAATTTGTTATGGAGTTGTTAAATCAGGCATTATTCATCTTTGTATTGATGTTTAAGCTGTGAAAAATTTAGTTAATGCGTCATATGCATTTGGATCAGCAAGTGCAGAACGTGTCGCTTCAAGTATTTTCAAAACAAAAATGGAAAAGGAAAATATTTTTTGAGGTGAAAAATTCACAATTGCTACTCATGGGAAACCATTGACTATTGTAGCTGGAACTATGGGCAATAAATGTGATCGTGCTAATCTTAGTCAAGTGTCTTTTGGAATAATTATTGAGCTTATAAAATGTTTAGAACTATCTCAGTGTAAAACCAAAAAAATGTGTTTCACATTTAAAAAAAGTCTTGGCTTGCAAAACAGCATAGAAGGAAATATTATTGAAAAATTAAAAGCTTTAAAAGCAGAAATGAAGGACTATTTTTCATGTAAAAAAGAAGAATTTTTTTGAAGCTGGCAATATAGTAAATAAATCAATGGTTTATATAAAGGATATTGATGAATTTATTCACAATATAATCACTGAAAGGAATATTGACCCTCTTTCTACAATTGTAAGAGTTGCTGTGGATTCTGGTCAGAGTTTTTTAAAGGTCACTATGAATCTTTTT